CACACACACACACACACAGGTTTGTTTTTATGGTTTATGGGGATTTTTCAATAGGCGTAATGGTTTTTTTACTGTACAAACCGTATTTTCTATTGCCCTACACCAACCCTACCCCTAAACCTACCCCTCACAGGAAACTTTCTGCATTTTTAGATAAAAAAAAAAAAAACTAATTCTGAATTATTTATAAACCTTTTGAATTACGGGGACACTGAAAATGTCCTCATAAATCACCTTCTCGTTGTAATACCTATGTCATACCCATGTTATTATACAAATTTGTGTCCTCATAAACCACATAAACATGCACACACACACGTACGTCAGTATTTTGCTTTGTTTTCTAATAAAAATCGAAACACCCTCAAAATCATGCATCACGATCATCTGGAAACAATCATTTATTTCATACAACACTGGCAGATATATAGATAGATAGATAGATAGATAGACAGATGACACACATAAGTAGTTAGGAAAGCACATGCATCTTAAAGGTCTGCAAATAAATTTGTTTGAATCAATCAGGCTGTTGGTTCAGACATGTAATGAAGAGTATCTATTTCTGAACACCAATCAGTGAAAGGCCTTCCAACACACACACACAAAAAAAAACACTCTGGAGGTTAATATGACTGTATTTCTTACAGTAATTGTCATTGTGCTTCTTCTCGTTTTAGTAATATCTCAGATGTGCAATTATCTCCCATGCATCCATTACAAATTCTAGCTATACTACATCTGCATGAGTTCTATATATTGTACATATGGTTAAATCAAGATGAGAATGAATTGCTTTGTTTTTCAAATATGTTTTGTTAGCTTTGCTAGCTTTTTCATAGAGCTGTTAGTTTTCCGCCTCTCCTCTCTTCACTGTACTTACAGGTATCGTCTGAGTCTTGATCATTAGATCAAACTCTTCGTTAATCTGTTTGTATTTCTCCTCCGTGCACGGAGTGAGAGCGAGAGCAGACTCGAGCTCCAGGCTCTCGCCGCCTTTGTTCTCCTTCTTGCTCAACGCCTGAAGGCCCATGCGGGGCGAACAGTGAGCCAGAGCACACGGAGAGAGAGAAAAAAAGAGAAAGAGAAGGAAGAATGAGAGGGCTTGTCTGAGATGCAGGTACTTACACATATCCTCTGTCTGCTGATCATGTGCAGATCAATGTCTTCGTTGATTTTACGGTACTTGTCCTCTGACTCTGGGCTATGGCCCACCGAGTCGTCTGCGTCGGGGTCTGGGCTGTCACAGCCATTTAGACCCTTCTTTCTCAGGGTCTGTAAATACAAGTTTGCACACAGTTCAAATACCAACCATCATGAAGACCCTCAGGTGGGTTTCATACAAGTTGTATTTAGACAGGATTAAAAAATGAAGTTGAAAATCATTCATGTAGAGCCCACTTCAGAATTTAGGGGAAACTATCTCAAAATAATTATGCATAGTTATATACAGTATCATTGAAATGTTTGAGGTCAGAAGATATTAGAAAATATTAAATAGCACAACTGTTTGTAAAACTGATGATAACATTCCATCCTAGGAATATATTACATTTTAAAATGTATTTTAAAAGAAAATGGTTATTTTAAATTGTAACAATATTTCACAATATTACTGTTTATATTATATCAAATAAATGCCGCCTGGTGAGCATTAAAAACTTCTTCCAACAATATTTTACCAAAATATTATTTCAAAAATATTTTATTCCTTATAACTTTATTCTCTCACCAACCTCAAACTTTTCAATGGTAAAATATATATTTAATATAATAATACAATATTTTAATTTTATTCTCTCACCAACCCCAAACTTCTGAATGGTAAAGTATGCTCAGTTATACTCGATTAATAAAAATATGAATCAAAACTCAAAATATGAGTCAACTTGTGTTTGAGAACCGCTAGTGCTGAATCTTTAAAAGGGTTGTTAATAAAGAAATTCAAGCTGATGGTTTATTTTCCAGAATTCTTTCATGTCTTGTTTGTTTTTAGATTATTTGCTTAAGGTCATGTTATTTATATTTATGTAATATACAATAATCATAAATATTCCTTGTAAGCCATTTTAAAGGAAGTTGTTGAGAGACAACAGGATACACATACAGGAAGGGCCAACCTAAAATGTAAACGTTAGTATTTAGCCAGATCTGGGTACCAAAGAGAAAACATTTTCTAAATGTGATTTCAGCAGAGAGGAACGGCCCTACTGCTACTGACCACAGCACAGAGACGCCATAGAGCCGGTCCAAAGAGATTAACAGAGAGACACCCAGTGAACCTAAGTGATACAAGGATTCTTTTGATATAACCATTAAGAATATAAACCAAAAATGTGTGATGAAGCTGAAAGGTTGTGCTATGCTTAAGCAAACAAGCTAGTGTAGCAGTAAAAGAAAGAATTGTGGGCTCTCCTGATATATTAAAGCAGCAGTTTCTCTCTCTGCCACCTGATGGCCACCTTCTAGTAGGAATGAGATCTTCCTCTCACAGTAGAGTCAATCTATGAGTGAGTGTCCGCCAATTGGGAAATGTTACTTTAATATTAACACTTAAAAAAAGAAAACCGCCACATCTTAAATGACTAATAATTTAATATAAGCTATTGTGCTAATTGAATGTAGTTAAAGCTTCTACTGTCCTAGATGATATCAAATTAGCAGAAATTCTGTGAGGGACACAATGTTTTTGTGAAAATAAGAAAAGAAGAAATAAAAACACGAGTCTTCAACTGTCATTATCTGCACGAGGTTCTCAAGGAGTCTTGCATCTCATCAAAGCGAGATGTTCCACTGGATCAACTGTCTTTAAGTGTGGCGGGATATTAACCACCAGCTAACATATGTGCAGCTCACGCTCTCACACACAGTCCTTCTCTGCCTTCATCTGCCTTTCTGCATCAACCACACGATAATTAATTTACTCTGCTGACGTGAGGGCTTGATGAAGACGGGTTTCTCATCCTCTTTTCTTTGCTATGACATGCTTCTATTAGGTGTTGTGGGATTGTGTGGAGAGCGCAATGTGTGATGAGAGCTTTTTTTTATTCCTTTATACATATTGAGCTGATCAAATGCTTTGAAGACGAGTCCCGGCATGGCTGTTTTGTGAGATTGAAACAGAAAATGATGGAAAATTTGAGATATGGTGTCTCAGTCAGTAAAAAAGATAGAGTAAACAACTACCGTTTTTCTGCATGATTAATTCAAGTTCTTACTTTACCATTTCTTTGTAAATGTTTGTGAAAATTACTTGCGATTTCTGACTTCAAATAAAATTAGTTACTTTATTTTTTGCCTCAAATGATAGTTTGCCCCCTAACTAGCAGGTTAACTACTCAGGTACTGCCTCGGCAACGGGGTGGAGGAAAGATTACGGTGTAGAGCGGCCAGCGTCGATCTGAGGCAGAGGAGTACGAAGAGGCAGAGTAGACTGGAGTGTGCTGATGGGAGGGTATGCTGGCTGAGCGAGCACTCAAGCAGGGATAGGCAGTTTAAGACCCAGCATGCAGCCGCTGTGAACCCCCTAAAGGTCCACCGCTATGCCACTCATTCCAGATATGTGCACCTGTCAGAGTATCCACACCTGTCACCAGCCCTCTCTCTCTCTCTCACGCACACACACATGCATATTCTGCTGTAGGGAGATAGACTTAGCCAATCACAGCAAGTATGCTGAAGATGGCCATAAATGGCTAAACAAACACCCATTCCTCAGAGAAAAAGAGAAATACTCAGATGTTGCTCTTTCATAACTCAGGAGGTTTGGTGGAGGTCTCAGTCATACATCTTTGAAGCATCATATTTTTCTCAGGTTCACTTAAATTAAAAATAGAGTGAGACATACAGTAAGAATACAGAGCAATACTATTAATTATCACAGATAACAACGGATTATGTGGCGTCTTGGCAAATATGTGCATATTTTTGATTACCAGGGTCCTTTTCTTAGTAGAAGTAGATTTAAGCAAAAGTCTCTATTTGAACTTCATTTCATCTCATTGCTGAGAAAAAAAATTGAGACTTTTAAAATATCTAATTTAAAAATGTATAAATTATGTAAACAATGAATACATTTAGTTTATATATTAAAACAGGTCATAATAATAATAAATGAATAAATGTTGTAATAATATAATGTACATTTTATAAATAAAATAATAAAATTTAATGTTTAATAATTTGTTTAACTCTCGGACAAGAACCTTTCAAGGTCAGCCACTGACAACAGATCCATTTGTTCCACATCAGGTTACAAGGGTCTGCTTCTAGGAAGAAGTATGAGATTTAAGCAAAAGTCTCTATTTGAACTCCATTTAATGACATTGCTTTCTAGGAGAAACAACTGAGATTTTAAAGAGATCCCATTTGTAATTTTTCTTTCCTATTGGTTTTATAATGACTCACTCATAATCACTCCCATTTCTGAAGGGAGGCAAAACGCACAGCCAATGCAAAAAAAGTCTCTATTTGAACTCCATTTAATGACATTGCTTTCTAGGAGAAACAATTGAGATTTTAAAGAGATCCCATTTGTAATTTTTCTTTCCTATTGGTTTTATAATGACTCACTCATAATCACTCCCATTTCTGAAGGGAGGCAAAACGCACAGCCAATGCAATTGATTTCCCAGGAAGCAACAACAACATTAATGCTTCCAGTTTGCCGATCTAAAAATAAGATACAGTAGAAAACAAATACCCTGTACTTGGACCAAGCAGCGAGAACATTCTAACGCCTTAATAGCTCCGCAAGATGAAAGCTGTGTGATCGTCCTTCCAAAACATTATCGATGAGGAGTAATCAATCTAACAAAGTGGAAAATGGCCAGGCAGGGGTGAGGGGGCTTGATAAAAAGCTAAAATGCACAGAGATGGTCAATAGAGAGCTGTGAAGGGATGAGCGGCTGGAGGCTTCTGAGAATCAAGAATCAGTGGAGACAAGGAAGGGAAAGGAGTGGGAAGGAATGTCTCCTTCAATGGTGTGCTCCTAATTAAACTCCTTCATACTTCTCATCCCTCCTAGCTCCTTCTGTCAGACCTCCTCTCCGGACTGAAGCCTAAATAATGGACTGATATCAACTATGGTCTTGCAATTCCAGCTGTAATCAAGCCAGAGAAACTCTAGCTCGAGTAGCCAAAGACGATTCCCAACTGTCTTCACTACTGATCATTTTACTCTGGCCTCTTTTTAAAATCTGAACAGTGTCCAGTGCTCATTTAGACATCTAGTTAAAACCAGGCCAGATTGATGAGGGAGTCTGACCCAGAGAGACCTCATGGTTTATTTTCAAGAGGATTTCGGTTGTGGAATAGAGCTGACAGGTTTGCATGAAGGTCCAGAGAAAGTCCCACATTCAATATACTCTGCTTATCGAGACCAGGAGATAGGAGGACAGACAAGCTTTTTTATATGATCTGACAACAAATAAAAAAAAATCAAACAGCTTCTTTCTGTTCTTTCCTGAATTCAAGCTGTCTTCTGTGTAGGGCTGCACAATGAATCATATTTTATTTGTGATGGAGAATTTCTGCTTATCTCGATTAATTAAGCATAATTGTCTTGCGATATTTTGTCACTGGTTATGTATCCTTAAAACATTTTTTTTTCCATTTGACATTAACTTTGTCTTGCATTGGTAACAAGCCAAACATGAATCTCAACAATATATATTTTTTTGTGATTGTAGTTGCTGAATCAATGCTCTTATGAAACTTCTGTGCTACAATGCAAAGTCTTCATATTTGTTTTAATAGAAAATAGTAGTGATGTCAAATGATTAATTGCAGTCAATCGCATCCAAAATAAAAGTTTTTGTTTACATAATATATGTGTGTCTACTGTGTATATTTATTGCATATCGGAAATAGCATGAAAAGGGCCAATACCGATGGTTTATTCATTAACTGCATGGAGACAAAGAGTAGCATGTCTGTTGCGTAATCCAATGTTTTTCAAAATAATTAAATACTTGCCAAAACAAAATAAAATCTGTACAAAATATAGTTTGTCAGACGGCATAGTACGGCCATAAGCAAACGTGACGCTGACACATCCAACGAGTGAAATGCCCACGCTCAGCTGTGAACTAAACATAGGTAAGTCGCAATGGCAATGCACCGGCGTTAGAGTTTATCCGAGGATATGTCACGAACCGCCAAGCATTAGGCCTACATTTAAGTGAAAATGAATGGCCGGTAATATGCAGCTTTTTGTTTGAAACCAGTGTAGAACATTGATCCACATAAGGTCACATCACGCACCTGGAGCGTTT